TAGGGATTTCAATCCCACAATGTTATATATATATATATATATATATATATATATATATATATATATATATGCTTTAGAACTCACAATATATACAATTTCACCTCATATAAGCAATTTTACCCACCCCGTCGATCCTCACAACGACACGATCTATACTCTCGGATCTAAAATTAACCTCTTTACCTAATCCATACTCCAGGACCAGGTATGTCTAATCCATACTCTCGGATCAATAACTATGCCCATTCCATACTCTCGGACTAGGGAGAATTGACTATGTCTAATCCATGCTCCCGGATTAATGACAGTTAACTATGTCCTCTCCATACTCTCGGACTAAGGACAAATGACTATGTCTAATCCATGCTTTCGGATCCATAACAATTTTTAAAGTTCGATCCTCCGTGTATATCTCACCTGTACTCATAAGGAGATACTACCCGATATTCATCTCAATTAATTTAGGCTTATTCTGTACCCTAAATTATCATATATTATCATATATGCTCTTAACATGTATTTCAGGCAATAACAAATATTTCACACACAAAGATATATTTTGATACTTTAATCAATACTTGTATTAAAATCATGTTCATGAAAGGGACTATGCACTCATTTTTTAAAGTGATGATTCCAAACTCGGGCAGCGCTTCGCTTCTAACAATTTTATTCTCCTTCGACGAAATCAAGTATCATTACCGCTAGATTTTAGTCTAATATTTATAGCGACTATTTAATAGCGTTATTGTTTTATAAGTGTTAAACAATATTTTTCAACCACTATGAACAGACAGGGGTCAGACATGAAATACCGGAGGGCAGGACCATTTTGGCATTATAACACTTCTGAAATCCAACAACCCTATGCGGCCCTTCAAACCAGATTTTCCATACCGCGAGTAGTTAAAAGATATTAGAATAACACTTTGTACATTATATTTTATAATATATTTTTTTATAAGTTCATAATTACGATGTTGAACTTAAACATAAGCTATACTTAAAGTAGGGTAAACATAACTCACTTACTAGGAGGTTTGGCTAGGAACCGGGCTCTGCGGGGGCAGAAGTTCAGAGCCGAAATCTCTTCTTCTCAGAGCCTCTTAGCACTTGGGAAGTACTAAGGGTTGGGAGGGGTTTAGAGAGAAGTTAGAGAGAGAGAAGGGTTGAGGTGTGAAGAAAATGGGAGAACCTCGCATGCTATTTATAGGCTAGAACTTGGCTCAACTCGGTGAGTTTTGGGCCTCCAAATCGTCGTGTTGGTGTGCCACATGTCACCATATGGTGGCACAGGCGTAGGGAGGAAGCAATGGTCAAGATTGTGCCACGTGTCACTCGCAGATTACTCCAAAAACTATTTATCTTCTAAAATCCGCAACTTTTGCATACGAGCTCCGTTTTTGACGTTCTTTATATCCACGCGTAGGTATTGACAAGATATACAACTCTCGTTTTGATTCCATTGGCTAATTATCGGCTGATTTTAAATTTAACAGTATGAGAAGATTACACTGTTTAACGACCGTGTAAAATTCGTAACTTCTACATACGGACTCCGTTTTCAACTGTCTTTTTATCGTTGAACTCCTATTAATGAGATATTCAATCCTCATTTAGGTTGTTCAGCTAAAAATTGATCGATCTAAAATTCGATTTCCGGGCTGTGCACTGATATGCTAAATCTTAGAAAAATCATAACTTCCTCATACGAAGTCAGATTTGGACGTTCTTTTTATGCACGTTCTCGGTTTAACATATACTACGACTTTTGTTTAGATCGCTAAGGTTAAAAAATATTTTATCGCAAACTCATTTTTTAAGATTCCCGGTGTCATGTCGGTTTTGTCGTAAAACTTCGACGGGTCATAACTTCTTCGTTATAGCTCGGATTTCAACGTTCTTTATATGTACGGAACCCTTGTGACATATACTATGACTTAGTTAAAATTATTTACTCTAAATAATCTTTTATCAAAAAATCATTTTTGACGCTTATTGTCTCTAAATTGACTAGCCCGAATTTGCAGGCGTTACAATGATCCAAAAAGTATGTAGTGTTTATATATCCAAATTATAAGAGGAATAAAAAAGGTTTTAAATCATAACTATGATCCATAACTTAATATGATCCAAACATTTTATGATTTTTTATGATGAACAATTCATACAATATGCATCATAAAGGTTTGCATCATAACTATTAATAAATGAAATTTAGTTAAGAGGTAAACTTTTATGTTGCAAGATGTCTATGATCCAAAACCTATGATCAAAAGGTTTTGGATCATGACTATGATCCATAACTTAATATGGTCCAAACGTTTTCTGATTATTTATGATGGACAATTCATATAATATGCATCATAAAGGTTTATACCATAACTATTAATAATTAAAATTTAATTAAGAGGTAAACTTTTATGCTGCAAGAAGTCTATTAAACTTTGATCAATAATTTCTATGATTCAAAGCGATTTTATTACGATGACCAATTTATATAAGACCGATCATCAAAATTCTCACGATAACTATTAATAACTACCGTTTAAGATCCAAAGTTATGGGATATAATTATGTATGATTCAAATAGGAGACATGAATCATAAAGTAAGTTTTGGATCATGATATGATCCAAAATTATATAACCCATAAATCTATTTTTATAAAATAACATAAGATGATGGATTATAGAACTTTCTATAAGATGGACAATTTCAATAAGTTGGGAAATTTCAATAATATGGACAAAAACATGATCCAAATTACTCATCATAATTCATAAACTTTCAGTAAGATGGAAATTTTTTATAAAACGGAACATAAAACTTTATAACACGAATTATAAACATACAAACTACTATCTTTCATATCCAAATTCATATATTAGTAAAACCTAACAATATACCTTACTTATATTTACAAATTAAAGGATAAAAACTAAAACATCAAAGATGTTGCCAAAGAAATCACTTTAACTTAAACATACTGCTCCATAAAGTTGTGTACATACCATTCAAAGTTGTGATTCTGCCACACCCCCATCCGATGGCGAAAATGCTGGGATGGTGACTTAGATCACATAGCATATATTAAACAATATAGCATTCACTTAAAGTATTACACCACCAAATCATACTTATATCTTACATTATAACATGATTCACTACGAATCTTCATAGATGCAAAAAGAGGACATAAGACATAATTTATAACATAAACATAAGTTGACGATTCCATACTCCTTGCGTAGAGATCCTGCCTTATTTTCCTGAGAATACATGTTAAAATATTATATATATTTTTGGATGAAAAATATATAGATTTGCATGGAAAAAGTTGCATATGAATGAAATAACAATATTTAGTTATTTTTCGAGACAACAAAATAATCATTTTTCTC